CACCCCGCACCGGACCCCAGAGACCACGGTGGGGACCATGGTGCAGGGATGAGGATGGGATAGTGGTCCAGGAAGGGAAAGGGATGGGACCGTGATGTGGGAAAGGGGACAAGGCTGGGGATGAGGAGGGATGGGGACAGGAATGGGGAGGGGATCATGGTCCAGGAAGGGACAAGGAGGGACACAAGGGTGGGGACTCACAGCATCAGCGCTGCCTGAGAGCAGCAGGTCCTTAACGGTGAGGGTGCAGGATGCGGGCGGGGAGACCACGGGCAGGTCCGGGCTTTCCTCCAGGAAGAAACCGGGGTGCCACATGTCTGGGTGAGGGGAGAGCAGAGGCTGTCAGCAGCCTCAGCAGCCCTGTGTCCCCCTCTGTTCCCAGTGTTCCCAGGGCAGGACCCTCACTCCTGCCATGGCCCCAGAGCTACGGTGACTTGCTGCCACCTACCAGTCCAGTGGCCCTGGACTCTGTCCCCCCAAACTGTCCCTCTGGTCCTGCTCCAGCCCCCCCAGCACACCCTGCGCTGCTCAGCCCACCTCAGGACCCCCAAACCTCCCTCCTCTTCCAGGCTCCCCCACCAATGCCAGTCTGCCCAGTTCACCCCAGTTCCCAAGCTCTCCCCACTCCCCCCAGCTCCACCTCAGTCGTCCAGACCTCCCAGTTCTCCCCAGTTCCCTCCAGTCCTCCCAGCTCCTCTAATTTCCTCACTATCCAGAAGACACCCCAGCTCCCCCAGCCCTCTCAGCTCCCCAATGTCCCCAGTCATCCCCAGTCCCTCCAGTGCCCCCAGACTGGTCCTTTGCCCAGTTTCTCCCCCGTGGCTCACCCAGGTCGATGGAGACCTCGGGGTGCAGGACCCCAGTCCCCTCCGGGAGGGGCACAGCCTGACAGGGGTTGGCGTAGGGGTACAGGACCTCGCTGGGACCCCCATCACAGCACCTGGGGGGGCTGTCAAGCTGGTCAGAGGGGGGGTCCTCAGACACCCCACTGTCGCTGGCAGCCGGGGACCAGCTGGGCGAGTCCGATGCTGAGTCTCCAGAACCCAGGATGGAGCTGAGGAAGTCCTCGCTGTCCTGGGCACGCTGCGAGGACACGGTTGCCCGTCACCCTGGGGTGCCCATCACCCTGGGGTGCCCGCAGGAGCTGCCTATGCTGTGGGGTGGTCCCAGCTCCTGGGCAAGGCATGGGGATGGGGGTCTCCTGTCAGACCCAGGGATGAGGTGGAGATGGGATCCCCCTCCCCAGCGCAGGGGGACTCACCCTGTCCTCGTGCCAGGCACCCGGCGGTGTCCCCAGCTCCACGCCACGGAGGATCCCATCCTGCCGGTCGAAGAGGAGGTCTAGCAGGTCGAGGCTGTTGAGGCTGCCCACGTCAGAGGCCATGGCTGCAAGGTGGCAGGGTCAGGTTTCTAACTCAGTCCCTGTGATTGTCCCCTCGCCTCCCCCCCACCTCCAAGTTGCACCCCAAATGGTGGGACTGGTGAGAAGGAGCAGGGACCATGTTTGGGCACGGGCACATGTGTGCAGGACCATGGGGAGGTGCAGCTGCACGTGTGTGCACGTGTGTGCCTGTGCGTGTGACCATGTGGATGTGTGCACATGGCCATGCTGGCACACGCGTGTACAGAGCTGTGTGTCTGTGCAACCACATGACTATGCAATGTGCACGTGTGTGTCCACGCAGACATGGGTGTGTGAACACACACAAGTGCTGGGACCTGTATGTGTGCACATGTGGGCACATCTGGCAAAGCCCTATGTGCAGGTGTGCGGGAAGGAGAGCACAGGCATGCAGGGGCTCAGGCACACGGCAGTGGCCCCCTTCCGCCTCCTTCCAGCAGCTGAAACTCTCAAATCCTCTATTTTTTTCCCCCCAAAGAACTGCACAGCCAGGGGCTCCCCGCAGGCCACCAGCTGCCCCAGCACCTCCATGCACCCCCAAGTGCAGGAGCAGGATGAGTGCCCAGACCCAAGGGCTGGGTCAGCTCCCCTGTCTAGCCCTGTCCCATGTGTGTGACCACTCCGGAAGATCAGGTTAATCATTTTGGGTGGCAAGCAGAGGGGGAGGAGGCTGCTGTCACCGGCCGCCCTGAGGAGGGGACTCAGCCCCGCTCTGCCACTGCCACCCCAGGCACTGCTCAAGACCTCGGACTCCGAGAAAACCAACAGGCCAACTGACCAGTTGCCCAACCGGTCGATCAGCCAACTAACAACCCAACTGACTGACCAGTTGCCCAACGAGTTGCCCAACTGACCAATCAGTTGACCAGCCAAATCAATGAACTGATCAAGAAACAGAGGAAACAGTCAACCTGTTGGCCAACCAACTGATTGACTAACCAAATAACCAACCCACTGACCAACTGACTGACCAGTCAACTGTCTGACTGATTGATCAACCAACCCATCACCCAACCACCCAACCCATCACCCAACTGCCCTTCCCAACCTATTAAGCACTGTCTCAAGTGTCCTTCAGGTCAGGTTTGGGGACAGTTGTCATGACCCTGATGTTTGGCTGGCCAACCCACGCAAGGGGCTTTATTGCACCCTGTCCTTCATCCTCAGTCCTTCCAGTGAGCCCTGATAGCTGCGTGGGACCATCAGGTAGAGGGACCTCATTGAGGTCCAGCAGCCAGGACATACCTGTGTGAGATCCCACTCCCACGGATCCGTCCTGTCTTCTCAACCCCCTCGGTGCGCAGGGGAGCAGGGCGGACACCAAGCTCGGTCACCTCCTCCTCCTCCTCCTCTGCGGTGCCCTGACCTGAGTGGCAAAGTTTAAACTCCAACTGCACAGAAATATCATCCCAGATTGCAAAATCTCCCATCCCTCATTGGGGACAGCTGTAAGTGATGGCAGGGCCGCCCCAGGGACGGACCCGCTGTGCTCCGTAACTCATTAGCCAAATGTTTTTGTCCTCCTCCGCCGAGTGGGGCAGGAGGGGCCCAGGGCTGGTGAGCGAAGTCCAAGCACTGTGATTGCCTGTGAACTTTCACCCATTTTTGGGGACAATTTCCCTTTTTTTCAGACAAGCGTATCGGCATTAATCACATTTTATAGGGGTTGAGAACATCTGGGGAAGATGTAGACTTGGACTCTACCACTTACAGCTTCCTCCACAACAAACCCTGGTCCCCTCTGCTCCTTGCAGCCAGGGCTGGCCTGGATGCCTGAATTCTGCTGCCATGCCCGCTGCCTGCCAGCGGGGCTGCCTGCACCCTCTGTGCCTCAGTTTCCCCGTGGCCATGCGGGAACCGAACACAGTACTGTCTGTCGGCTGCAGTGTTCATCCCTCCCCATCGCCTCGCAGCGAGAGGGTGTCAGCCCAACGCGCGTCACCCTCCAGATGAGCCCCTCCCCACCAGA